AAACCCCGTCTCTACTAAAAATACAAAACATTAGCTGGGCATGGTGGCGCGTGCCTGTAATCCCAGCTACTCAGGAGGCTGAGGCAGGAGAATTGCCTGAACCCAGGAGGCGGAGGCTGTGGTGAGCCGAGATCGCACCATTGCACTCCAGCCTGGGTAACAAGAGTGAAACTCCATCTCAAAATAAATAAATAAATAAATAAAAAGGTGTGAATAGTGACCATTTCAGGGTGGTAGGGTAGATTATGAAGAATTAATTTCCTCTCTACTTTTATGTATATCATAATTGTAAAAATTAGCATATAGTTTATTTCTTAAAGGCTTATTTTTTAAATTAAAAAGCATGAAGGGAGGGGGGATGAGAAGACTCGCCAGCCAGGTACTCCTCCAGCCCCCTCCCTGCAATCCAGCCATCTCATTGCCCTGTGGCAGGTGGCCTGTCCCCCAGAGGGGACAGCAGGTAAGTGCATGAACAGACCTGAGAATTCACTGCTCCTGTGAGGTGAGTCCTGCCTGATGCTGAGCATTGGTGTGTTTTGTTTATGGGCTTTTGCCTGCAAAATAAAAGTGCTCTGCCTGGGGAGGGGCAGGGGCCACGGGGTTAAGGATCGGGCCACACCTCTGCCAGCAGGACCATTTCCTGCCATTTGGGGTTTCACCTTCCTTACCCTGTACTGTGCTTGGGTGTATTAGATTGATGCACTGAGTTTTAGTCTCAAATAACAATTAAAAGTACAGGGACCAGCCGAGAGTCGGTGCCCTCGTACATTGCATGAATGAAGAATATGGGGTAGTGGGCATAGTTTTTGAGTGCAGGTTGGTTTTTTTTTCTTTTTTTCTTAACTTTTAGTTTAAATTTTTATAGTCGACTTTGAATAATCTCCTAAATATTGCCTGGAATTGATTTCCCTCAGAAGGCAGTTAATGGCTTTTTATCTGAAACTCAAGTACTGCTAATCCAACTGCCACTACATTATAGCATTTGCTCAATGAGAGGAGCTAATTCCTCCAAATTCACTTTTAAATAGATTCAAAAGAGCCTTCTCCTGTGACCAGGCAACGCTGAGCAGGGCCTGAAGGCAAGATTCCTGTGGTTGAGCGGCAGCTCCCTGGAATGAATGATCATTCCTCCGAAGGACACTGTGGTGGACGGTGGCTCCTTACTCTACCTCCTACTTGCTTTGTGTCCTAGAGCAAGTTCATTCCCCTCTGGGCTTTCGTGTCCCAGCCCTTTCCTTCTGCTGGGTCCAAGAGACAGGGCAGCAGTGACTGGCTGACACTGGGAAGCTTTGCCCGGCCGCCTGGCATTTCCCAACTTCCTGAGTGGAGACCCTCGTGCCCCAGTTACCCAAGGAAGATGGCAGTGCCTCGGTGGGAGCTGATAAGATGGACAGAGAGTGATCTGCAGGGAGGCAAGAATGTCCTTCATTTAGTCCAGGCTCCCAAGGATAGGGCAGAAATAAGAAACTCCCCTATCCCAACCTGGGACGCCTCTGCCCCTGTGATGCGGATAAGCCTTCTTTCATCCTTCTCTCCTCCCTGCAAAAGCCCCACCTTGTCCTTCCCTACAGAGAGAATTCCTGCCTCCCCTTGAAGTCCCCTCTCAGATCCACTCACTTGGAGCACAGGCCTATCCTTATCTGTGACCATGCTGCCTCCTCCACCCCACCGGAATCCAGGGTCGGCCTCTGCCTCCCTGACCACAGGAGGTGGCCAGCTAATGTCGCATGGAAGGCTGTTTCTCCTCTCTCCTGCGGATGCTGGAAAGAGCCTCCATGCCCCGAGACCAACTATGCTCACTGCATTCTGAGGCTGTGGCAGCCTCCCTGGTGCGGGTCTGGAGGCTGGTCTGCACCCCCTGAGGGCCACTGCAGGGATGGGTGAAGGGCCACTGATGGCTGGGGCAGGGGCTGGCTAGACTGTGCCCTGCGGTTGGTCAGACTGTGTACTGTCCACAGGAGGAAAGCGTTCCCTCTGCCCCTGACCGGCTCTTCAAGATTGTGTTTGTGGGCAATGCTGCGGTGGGAAAGACATCGTTCCTGAAGAGGTTCTGTGAGGACCGGTTCTCCCCAGGCATGGCGGCCACTGTGGGTGAGTTCTCAGCCCTGCAGTGGGTCCTCGGCCCATCTCTGGGCAGGGAAGTTTGTGAGAAGGGGGTCTGGGGCAGGGGGCCTCTAATGCCCACGGGAGGGGCTGTGGGGATTGGCTGGTAGGGATGCTGGTGTCTGCTCTGTTCAACGGAGGCTGGGAGGGGCAAGATGAAGCCACCTCCCCTCACGTCGCTAGCTGCTAAGCTCATCCTGTGTGCGATGGGACCCCTGAGTGTCTCATAAGTCCAGCTCTGGGTTTATGGAACTACATTTGGTAAAGGTAGATTTAGGGCCCCTTACCCCTTCAGTGGGAACGCCCTCCCTTTGACCACTCCTCCCCACTGTCAGCAGAGCCCTGGGTCTTCCTGCTCCCCTCGAACTGACTGGGACTCCTCCCGATCCCCACATCCTACCACCCATCCCCCTGTCTTCCCGAGGGCCTGCTACTTCCTGGCCTTGCTCCTGGATGTCTTCTTTTATCCATCACATTGTATCTGTCCTCTTTCTCCGGCCTGCTGGGTGACAGCTGGACTTAAATGTGGAAGCTCATTAGGCTCGGTTATTAATGGATGATCATGGCTTAATATATTCCCACTCTGGGTGATATTTTGCTTAAACAGAGGCCTTTAATCCCTTCGCTCACAGTTGCAGGTTGTATTGGAATATGTGGTGAGACCCAAGGGCATAGGGACCTTTTAGCTTGAATCACTCAACACAAAACAAATACACTGCATGCCTATTTCACTGAGCTGATAAGTCAACTGTGCTTGAAAATATATTTGTATGACCCGAATATTTGCCAGAAACTTTTATAGCCATCCTTTCCATCTATCTCCACGGCAACGCTGGGGTACTGTTATCAGCCCAGTCAACAAATCAGGAAACTGTGGTCCAGAGAAGTCAGAGGCTTGTTCACATTCCCATCAGTTGGTTGGTGCTGATACCTTCCCCCTGCAACTACCTTCCGTTCCATGCCAACAGTGTCCCTCAATTGAGTTGTATGTGCTTAGCAGCCCGTGAGGGGTGAGGATGCTTTTCTGCCTCTGGAGGTGGGCAGAGGTTGGTGCAGGCGTGGGGGCTGTGGAGGTTCAGTGAGACATCGGAAGTCCTGAGTCCTCCTCTGGGCCCTGCCAATGACAAGCTGTGTGACCTCAAGAGGATGTGATGTCTCTTAGGGCTTCAGTTTTCTCCCCTTTGAAGAATGAGAGGTTGCGACTGGGTACCTGTATTAATCTGTTCTTGCACTGCTACCAGAGACTGTGTAATTTATAAAGAAAAGCGGTTTAATTGGCTCATGGTTCTGCAGGCTGCACAGGAAGCATGACTGGGGAGGCCTCGGGAAACTTAGAATCATGGCGGAAGGTAAAGGGGAAGCAGGGAGGTCTAATGTGGCCAGAGCAGGAGGGAGAAAGGACAGGGGAGGTGCTACAAACTTTCAAACAACCAGATCTCATGAGAACTCTGTCATGAGGACAGCCAAAGGGATGGTGCTAAACCATTCATGAAGGATCCACTCCCATGATCCAATCGCCTCCCGCCAGGCCCCACCTCCAACGCTGGGGATTATAATTGAACATGAGACCTGGGTAGGGATACAAATTCAAACCGTCTCAGCACCCTAAGACTGCCTCCCAGCCTGGGTCTCTGATTCAACCGTCTTCCACCTTTAGCTGTGTGACAAGCTGGTTCTACAAGACCAACTTTCAGTGGCCCAGAGCCCTGCCTGGGAGACTCCATTTTCTTTCTCTTATCCTAAACTGGCCCTTCTAACATTTCTCCCATAGAGGGGTCTCCGCCTATGTGTTTCAGGTGCTCCGACCTCACTGCTGGGCCTTTTCTTACACTGTTATGACACCTGGAATGTCTTCCCATCCCTTTCCTTCTGCTCTACTCCACCCAAAGATTGAGAGCATCCCAAGACAAAAATTGGGACCCTGATGGGCAGAGCCTGCCACAGAAGCCCAGAAGAGCCTGGCCTTGTCTGGCCCTGAGGGAGGAGCAGCTGGGAACGTGCTGAGAGTGGTAACGCAAAACGCAATGCCCAGGAGGTCGGCTTGCCCTCCCTGAGGGCATTCCATGGGGGAGGCCCTACAATCTCGGCTCTGGCACAGGCCTCGGGGAGGCAGGGAGACGGTGCCCAGCCCTCAGGCCTCAGAGGCATATCCCCTGAGCATTGGGCATGTGGCCTGCCTCTCCTGACAGCAAAATCAGGATCCGTTTACATTTTCAACTTGTGCCCCTGACATAGGAGACTCTGAAAAATAGAAAATCAGACTCATTTGTACTTCCCAGGAGGCCAATTATGGAAACACCCTACAATTTAGGAAGGGGAAAAAAAATCAAAGGTTCCAAATCAGGATGCCCTTCACCACGCTGCTCCACACATACTCAAGCAGCAGCTCAAATTAGTTTCCCTGCCACACTGCAGGCCCTGCTCTGGGACACATGTCCGGAAGCAGATGTCGCACCAGCTACCTGCAGGCTGCCCCCTTTAAAGAGATATAACAGCCACAGAGTCACAGCATCTCAGGCCAAAGCTGTCCAACCCCGGAACAGGGCTCCGGCCAATCTCCCGTCAAGGGCAGCAGCTACGCACAGTGGAAGGGCTTTGGCTGTTCTCCCAGCTCACCTCCATCCTCCCAGGGGTGCTCCAACTTCCTGGTCTCCCACTCCCTCGCAAGAGCATTCTTTGTACTGGACCCGTGGCTTGTGCGAAATGCAAGTTGCTACAGTGTAACTGGTGACTGAGGCACCCTGCCTGCCCCACCTAAGGCCCAGTCTGCTCCTTCGAGAGCAAGTGCTTGGGCGCTGCAGGCATCCTGGAGACAACACTGATGGTTTTTGCAGAATGCTGGATCTGGAAGGAACCCTGGGAATGGTCTAATTACATCCTGACCTGTTGTAAGTGAGAAAACTGAGATCCACAACAGACTGATCATTCGAGTTAACCAACGCTCCCTGGAACCCAGGACTCCTGAGTCCAGCGTTCTTCCCACCACTCCCCATGGGTTCACAACCCCCCTGCATTCAATCACAGGCCAGAACCCAGGGTGTTTCTTCCAGCAGCTGTTTCTGGCAGAATGCCCTCACCCTATCTTGGCACCAGTCCAGTGTCTGTCCCACTGCACATCTCTACCCAGAAACCCCTGCAGCACCCCCCTAGGGTGTTTCTCCCGAGCACTTTGCTGCCACTGCTCCCCCATCGCTCCTGCCTTATGACCACTCAGGCCTGACCCCTCAAGAAAGGTTAAGGTCACCCTCCTGGCAACTATCATCCCAGCGCTAACCCACACCACCTCCACAGCACCCTTCAAGGTGGCAGGAGGCTCCAGACTTCAGCCATCTTCGGAAAGCTATTCATTTGCAAACAAGGGTCACTTCGGTGTGATGGTTGAACACCCCAGCTGAACTTAAAGATCGTGAACATCCAACTCAGCCCCTTCATACCTCCATCTCACTGCCATCTACAGAAAAGGAGAGAGAACCCCCATCCCCAAAATGAACTGCAGCAGTGGCATCAGGGTCACATTGCTGCTCAGTGGCAGAGCTGAGAAAGGAACATACAACACAGGGCTCCTGACTCCTGGGATTTCAGAACTGGTAGTAATCTTAAAATCAGTTTAATCCAGGCCCTCTGGTCCCCAGTTATTCTGTGTTGCTTATCCTGTTGGACTCGTGTTCTCCGGCTTCATGTTTGCACACGCCGACTCTTCATCCCCACCGCCTTGTCTTCTCCTTGCGTCCTTCACACCCAGCCCCCGAGAGCCTGTTTATCTGCTTCCTTGGCCTGCCTGTCTGAGGCTGCAGAGAGAAACACATTGCGTGTCCAGCAGGGAGTCTCACCAAGCTCCCCACAGCGCAGAACACATTTTTCTAGCACATTCTTTTGCCCATCCCACTCCCTGCAAGAGACAGCCACCCGCCCTCCAGCAAAGCACCTAGCACATAAGGTGAAGCAGGAGCTGAGGGCAGCTAAGACCCAGCTGCCCCAGGAAACTCCCTGCCCTTCCACCTGCAAGCCCTACCAGCAGGCAGAGGGCTCTGTCCTCGAGGACACTGGCTGGTTTCAGATCTGGCCCTGAAGCTGTATAACCATGGATGGCTTTCCCCTGAGTTGTTACCAGAAAGCAGGCATCCCCCCTAGCCAAACCAGTCTCCCAGAGCACAGACCGGGGAAGCCCCTCCACTTCTGACCAAGAAGAAAACTCACCCTTGGATTCAACTGCCAGCCATTGTAATCCATTTTGCTGGGAGCACTTAACCCTAGGCCTTCTAGGTGAAGCTAAGCTGCCTGCATCCTGTGCCCTGAGTCTGGCTGCAGGAGGAACAGTGGGCCTCAGGGCTGGGATCACAGCGCACCTCGCTACTGACCAGCCTGGGCAAGGCACGACTGCACGTGACTCCTGCTTCGTCTCTCGACGATGCGTGTGTGAACGTGTAGGTATGAGTACATATGTGTGTGTGTGCATGTGTGTGCAGATAACTCACATGATGTCACAGGGGGACTCTGTGAAGGTGGATAGGCGGCACATAGAAACACTGGAAAGAGAAAGCATTCTATTTATTAATGGGAGAACTCACTCCTTCTCAGCCCAGACAGTTCCACCCCTCTCTGGCCCTCATCTGTGAAGCAGAGGCCTCTAGACTCCCCGCTGCCCCTGACATTCTGGAAGTGGATGATCCTCCCACCTCTGCTCACTCGTGGGTCCTTAATGCACTAGGCTTTGCCCAGTGGCAGTGGCGGGGGATGGCCTTTTCCATGTACTGCCTCTTTGTTGCCTATTTGGTCTCTTCTGCCTCTGTCCAAAGCTGCCGATGCTGTTCATCTTCCTGAGCCCTACAGGGCAAGCACCTCAGAGCCCCTCTGAAAGTTACAGAAGGTGCCCTAAAGTCCTAAGATGTGGCACCTTAAGTGGCGGTGGGGAGGGGATGTACTTTCCAACCTCTTTATGCCTTTGCGAACATTCTTACAGGATGCAGGAGTGGGGAATACCTGTATCAAAACACCTGTGTTGAGGTCCTTCCCTCTGAGGGCTGTGTGGGGTGCAGAATGCACTTCACTGAACTTGTCCCCTCTCTCTGGGGCTGAGGACCCCAGGTAGGGGTCACACCCCTGGAGAGATGGTTGTGAACTGTCCAGTGGTGGGATTAGGAGCTCTAACCCATCTCAAGGGTGAACGTTGCCTGTGATTTATTCTCTTATCCCTTCTGTTCTGTCCCTTCCTCTACCTGCCAGTTCCTACCCTCCTGCTCCAGTTCCTCCTCCCCTCCTTCTTCTTCCTCCTCCTCCATATACCTTTGGATTGGTTGATGGAGGCCATCCCCTTAGGACATTTGAATTTTACTAGGGGGCTTCAGAAAGGATTTTAGGTGAAAGAAAGATAGAAGGAAAGAAAGAAAGAAAAAAAGAAAGAGTGGGAGGAGAGGGAGAGAGGAAGGGGGAAAGAAGGAAGAAAAGGAAGAAAGGAAGGAAGGGAGGAAGGAAGGAAGGAAAAGAAGGAGGGAAAGAAGGAGAGAGAAGAAGGGAGGGAAAGAAAGGAAGAGCATATGGCTTATATTACAGTTTAAGAGCCTGCAGTTCAGAGTGGTTAAGTGATTTGATCAAGGTTCCACAGCTAATAAGTGGCAGAGACAGGACAAGAGCTCAGGTCCCCTGCCTCCCTGTCCAGTGCTCTGTTCTTTTCTTCATTTGGCCCCCAACGAGCTGCAGAGGGAGGATTGTCACCCTGGGCCTGACACAATTTCAGACATTGGAAGCATCGTGTTTTGATTTGGAACTGAGGTGCCCCTGGCCCAGGGCAGTCCTGACAGCCCCGTTTCGCCCTGCAGGCATTGATTACCGTGTGAAGACGGTGAATGTGGATGACTCTCAGGTGGCCCTGCAGCTGTGGGACACGGCTGGGCAGGAGAGGTGAGGAGCTGTGCCTGAAGTTCTCGGCTCTAGAGGGAAGGCCATGCATGCCTGACCCCTGACCCTTCTGCGGCAGGTACCGGTGCATCACCCAGCAGTTCTTCAGAAAGGCCGATGCTGTCATCGTTATGTACGATCTCACAGCCAAGCAGTCATTCCTGTCGGTCCGGCGGTGGCTGAGCAGCGTGGAGGTGAGCTGGCAAGCTTCCTAGGAGCCCTTAGGCTTGATTGTTCTCTTTTCTTCTCTGTCCATCTCCCACCTGGGCCTCTGCACTTTCAAAATCTGAATCGGAACTTGCCTTCCCCAGGAACAAACTGATTCAGGCATCTGTTCCTCTGTTCATCTGAGTTCCTGGTACTGTGCTAGTTACTGGGGACCCAGAAGTGAGCAAGACAGACACAGTCCCTGCCTTCATGGAGAGAGGGACACAGAAAATCCAGATTATGCCAGCAGCTGTGTCATCGCTGGGCCATGAGTGAGTGGGACTGGATTGGGGAAGGGGACCCAGTGAGGTGTCAAGGAAGAGTCCTGGAAAATCAGTGTTTGAGTCACAACCAGATTCTTCCCTCATTCTCACCAGCACCTCTCCCCACCCCCTGGGTCTTTCCAGTTCCAGTAGACCCAGCTGTGCCCTGCCCGACAGCCACACCGTGCAATGTCACAGCCCTTCGCATGAGGGGAGGTTGATCCAGAGTGTAAGGGCTCCAGGCTCACCTCAAAATCAAAGGTCTGGGCAGGGCCCAAGAGCAACCATGTTATCTTTGCATTCTGAATTATCTGGAAGACTCTACTTTTATGATTCCTACATGCAATGTGTTGCTTCATACATGCATTTTTTTTTTTTTTAAGTTTTTCCACCACTCCAGTGCGGGCTTCTCAAGGCCAATGCCAGTGTGGACAAGCCATGAATTGCTTTTTACCAGGCTTCAGCTGATTCCTTCACAGAACAATCAAGTAGGATGGCCTACCTCTCCTACCAGCTGGGTTCAGCATTTGTTCATTTATTTGTTCTAAACACCGGCAGGCACTATTCTAGGGCCTGGAAATCCTAGCAGTGAATAAAAGAGACAAAGCTCCTCCCCTCATGAAGCTTATGCTCAGCTCTCTGCTCCAGGCCCAGAAAACCTTGCATGCTCCCATCACATACTTATCACACTGCTACAGATTGCTTTTTTACTGGCCTGTGTTTCCCACTGGACTCCGTGCTGCCTGAGAACAGGAGCTGCATCTTTGTTGCTATAACCTGGGTGCTTTGCATGAGGCCAATAACTACTGGATGAATGAATGGATACCATATTGCTATGAAGGAGAATCTTGGAGTTGTCAATTTCTTCATCCCTTTTTGCCCTAAGATCTGCGATCTCTTCCACCCAAATCTGTTTCTCTGTGGTTCTCCCTGTCTGGGTCACCTCTCTCTCTGTTGTTAATCTGCATCCCTCTGATTACTGAGAAAAATAAGGAACAGAATGGAAGCCAGATTCAAGGGTTTCTCAAGAATTTGCCTAATACCTATTATTTCTCAAAATTGCTGTGCCTAACATGCTTACAAATGAGAAAAATGCAAGTTTTGAAACGTAGCTAGTGGATTGCCCATACACCAAACTAATAATGGAAGCAAACGGTATGGGTGAATCTGACAGTAACTTCTTTCTAAACTTTGGGATTTATGACATGATTTTTCTCTTCTTTTTTTACTTTTTTTGTTGTGCTGTTGGCAGTACCAGCAGATTTATCTTCCTTATTGAAGTGAAGCACCAGGAGAGATGTTAGGGATTACCCAATCCAGGGGTTTCCAGGTTTTCCTCCTTGGAGCCCTGGAATCAGACTGACATTCCGCAGAGACTGGGGAGCGGCAGGGGAAGATTTAGTGGTCATGGATCTGGGTCCCTCATCCTCCATCTCCATCAGAGCTGCCCTGCCTTTTTCAGCATATTGAAGGTTAGGTTCAATTCTGTTACACAAAAGGATTTCCCTTTGAAAATCACCCATCTAGTATAAGCCATCTCATTCAAAAGTGAAGAAAGGGAAGCCCTATCTTCTCCAAGATCACGTGTCCTTTTCACAGACATTTTTAGGTGTACCCCAATATCTAAATTTTGGTGTATGCTAGGGCTAAGCCTTCAGGGGGTCTGGGATTAATGGGAGTGGATGGTGACAAATTCGTGGGACTGTGCTCTCTGCTGTCATTAGGGGGTGTCGTTTCCAAGGCGCCTGTTTTGCACAGAGCCTGGGATCTAGAAGGAGAGATGGAACAGTTTGGTGGTGGAGGTGAAGAAATCTCAGAAGGCCATCATCACAGCTTGAAGCATGAGTTTAGTCATCCTCCAGAAACGTTGCTTTGTGGGACAGGGCTGAAGTGCGTCAGTGGCATGTGGCTGCTAAGAGACCCATGGAAGTCTGGGTGTGTCTGTAGGCTTGGGAAGCCCGGCTGAAAGGGCAAATCTATACATGGTGAAATTAGCATCGCTTATGTGTAAATGGGGTTTTTCCATATGATTTGTAGCTTGAGGTTTTCCTTTTTTTAGATATTAGTCAAAGATGCATTTAAGCTGTAAGTGATGATTCTAAACCTAGATGAACATCGGGATCACCTGCGGAGGTTTTAAAGGGAACAGAGGCCAGGGCCTTCTCTCCCAGAGCGATTCAGGGACTGCAAAAGAAAAGAAAAAAATCCTAACGGCTCCCCAGGGAATTTTGATTCTCAGCCACTGCTGTTCCCAGCCTAAACAAGTGCTCCTTGAACCCTAACACATATAGGACTCTCTTGGGGACCTCCTTAAAATGCAGCTTCTGCTTCAGCAAATCTGAGCTGGGGTCTGAGATTCTGCATTTCTAGCAAGTTCTCAGGTGAGGCCGATGCTGGTGGTCCAGGGATGAACTTGGAGTAGCAAAGCCCTGAATCACTTTCAAAGACATCTGTGACCCCTCGCCAAGAGCTTTCTAAGCATCTATGGCATGTCCACCACACACTAGGTGCTCGGGGACTCAGGATGACAGACCGGGAAACGGGTTCAGTGCAGCAGCACAGAGTTTCAGGAGTGAGTGCAGGAGGCTGTGTGAAATGGTAGAGCATGTGTTGAAGGTGCGGAACAGTGGTATCATAAATGCAATTATTCTCTAGATTCTTGAAAAGCTAAGTCATTCTGCCTTGGCAACCAGCAATCAGAGGTGTCAGGTGATAGATTAAAACTTGACACCTAATTTGATCTGAGGGGAACTGAAAATAATAAGTGCCTTATATCTGTGGAACACCTTATTTTTCCAAAGAGCTCCAAGCACTTTACCAACTCCCTCGCCTGGAGAAGGGAGGGTGGAGGGGGTGCTTTAATAACAGTCTTCAGGGTTCTGAAGCCTTATTAGTAAGTGAATGGTGGCCAGCTGTTCACAATCCCCCTTCCTCCCTCCACCTGAAAAGCATGCAAGAAAAAAGGGCTTCGGTTGCTGTACGTGCCTGCATGGGGAAGACTTACTCTTGGAAGAGGCTGTGTGGGGTGGGAGCAGATGCTCGGGGGAGGTAGTGGAGCTCCTGAAAGGAGGTTTTTACTATCCCATCTTGGTCACTTCCTGGCCATGAAACTTTGGCCAATCATTCAACGAGGGAGCAGACCAAATGCTCCCTCCTGGACCCCAAATTCTGCAGTGTTTGACGGCATTTGACTCTCTCTCTGGGAGGTCAAGACAGAGCAGGAATGTGTGTGGATGAGAAGACCCTGGAGGGCCCTTCCAGCCAAGATGGAACCAAAATCCTTTAGTGCAAGAGAGCACCAGCCCTGCTCGATGAGGCGGGAGGCTATGCCATTGCCCTTGTGCTCCTATTTCACCCAGCCTAGGCAACTTCACCCTGCCTGCAGGCCTTCTGTAGAAGAGACCCACGCAGGGCCAGGACATACTCTGCCAGTTCTCCTGAGTGCCTTATGGGAAGTCAACACAAGGAGCCTTTCGGCCAACTCAGCACTTCCAGTCCACTCCCAGCTTCTTTTCTCAGCTGGTAGAATTGGTTTAACCAGTCCAACCTGGAAAAGTAACTAGTCAGGCGCTGAGGTCCCATCTGTGACCATTGGACACACTGAACATCAGAAGACTCTGGGGGGCCTGTGTCTGGTAGAGACGATAGGATTTAGAACGCCAGCCTGTGCACGCCTGTTTGGGCTGGTATTTCCCCCAGAGGCAGATTGCTGGCCCCCAGTGTATGCAGTTGTGGGATGCTGAGCTTCTCGTTTAGAGCCTCTTGCCATTCTGATAGCACTAAATTGCTAGGCGTATAAGTCAAGGAAGTGAAATAGAATTGGCAAAGTTAAGCTGAATAGACCAGTGTTTCTGAGCTGGAGAAAAACATGGAGATTAATGCAACCTCTTGTTTTATAAGTAAGAAAATGGTGATCCAAAAAGAGGAAGTGACTTTCCCAGAGGCACCCACACTTGTCAGCAGTACCCCCTGATCTAGACGGGAGGGCTTTGCCACACTGCACTGCTTCTCGCTTGTCCTGTGAGCCATGGCTGAAATCTGATCCTGGAAAGCAGGTGTTCATTTACTGTCCAGACTTTCTTGCTTATCTCTCGGGGTCCTGTCTCACTTCCCTATCCCTTCCTGGGCTGCTAGCTAAACCTCATTCTGTGATCTTTGTCATTGGTGACAATGTACAGCATGTGCAAAAAATAGCAGTTTGATTTTTTTTTCTCCACGTTCCAAGTTGAGCTTGAAGTGCTGGCAGTTTAAAACGAACTACACAAATAAATCTTGTTTTGACTCATAGTCCAGGGGATGGATAAATATGGAAACCCCTAAGATATAATTTTGCAGTCATTTTTTTCTTAGCATAACTGCATGCTTTAATGTGCTGAGAAATTTTTTGTTCTGGCTCCAGAGAAATAGCAGCACTATCCCAGCTAAGTGCTTTTTCATGCCTCCTAGCAAATAGATATTAAAACATACACACACACACACACACACACACACACACGCACACAGACGACAATCAACTAAACCCAGCAGCTGCACATTCTGAGCTGAATGCCAGTCCACTGCTCCAAGTCGACAGCTCTTGTTATTTCAAGTCAGAGATGGGTGATCTTATGCATTTCAGCAAGTCTGTCTTCCAATGAGATCAAGTTCACAGAAAGACAGCTGGAATGACTGAAGGTGGAGGGAGGGCTCTCCGTTTGAGGGTCATAGAACAGAACCTGACTTTAGAACAAAACAGAGAAAAGAGGAGAGACTCAGATGAGTCACATGGAGAGATGGTGCAGAGCTAGGGCAGAACCCACGTCTCCTCCTGACGAAGGAGCTGAGATGACTTCACTCCAACCTGTCACGCCAATGGCATTTTTACCAGCATCTCTCACAGTCTCAACAGCGGAGTTTGAGTAGACCTGAGACTTGTTCACCAAAGCCCCAGAGGCTTGAAGCAGGTGTTGCTTCATCTAGGAGGTAATTTTGAACATCTTGTGCAGAAAACCTAGTTAGGTATGATGAGAAAGGAATAAAGTTTAAACAGATAGTTCAAGATTTTTTGGGGTCAAAGTGAGAGAGCACCATGAGATGCCCAGCCCAACACCCACTCCTCTCGCTGCCCCTGCAGCAGAGACTGATGGCCTTGGGCCAGGGTGACGGCGATTGACTGACTGTGATAGTCAGCACACTCCCTGGTCTTACGGGCGTTCTTATTTATTTCTGCCAAATATTTGGAAATGAGTCTAATTCTCCTTTATCGGTGGCAGGCCAGGGTCCCTGGAGGAGGCGAGTTATCCAGCATGACTGTGTAAGAGAGGAACAATACAAAGAACAGAAACCACAGGTCCTGCTGGGTGCTTTGCTTTTTAAATTTTTGTTCTGCTCCTTCTAAGCTCCTTTATTTTTATATCCAGAAATTGCCCTTTCTTTTCCCAGGAGGCAAGAGGCACCATTGCTGCTTATGGTGCACAGGGCCCAGATGTTGGGCTCATGACCCATTCCCTCCCTCATCCTGTTTGGTCATTCAGCATCCATCATGCCCTCTGCAAGCAAGGAAATGGAAGGCATCATCCATTCCAAATAATAACAAAACCTGGGGTAGAATTCTGCCCTGGGATTTCAAGTCTGATGCTCATATTTTCAGAGTTTCCATGTCAAGAAACCCCACAAGCCTTAGTCATTCCTCACACATAAATCTACAAATATCTCTCTCCCATGTGCTTTCAACAGCAAGCTGCTTGGCCCATTTCCCTGCTTCCTCCTCTTTTCTTCCCTTTCCGTGAGAAGCTCTTCCAGCAAGTATCCTGTGGCACAGCACGGTCAGAAGAGGGGGGTGTTCCCATCAGCCAACACTCCGGCTAATAGGGGCCACAGGATTCCATATATGCCGTGAGTGGCTTTCTCACTTTCAAGGAGTTGGAATATGTACAATCCACTTAGCACATCAACTGCAGATGTCCGGAATTTAATCTATTTTTGATGGGTCAGAAGACACTGTAAGATCTTGTAGTGCCTTTGAGTCATCATTGCAAACACATATTATCATCTCACCAACAGATATCACGTTTAGAGAGTTCCGGTTAATAAGACGCTAAGTAGCAGAGACTCGATTGGAGATAAGAATCTGGAGGAAAAGGTTAGAGAAGTGAAGACCCACATACTAAAGAGCTCTCCTAATTCAGTGCTTATGGTGTTGAATGTTCTTCCGGGTTCTCAGAACCTTAACTTTCTCACTTGGTAAATAAGAATTTTTCCCCTGATTGAACTGCAGTAAAAACAAATGCACAGATTAAGGTAACATTGAGACTTAATTTCAAACATAATAGCATTTAAACTTAAAATCGGTATACCTGTAAGATGGGCTTTGGCATTTATTTGAAATGCTCAGGTAAAACAGCTAAAGTATTGGCAAAACTGTAACTGCTTATTAGCTTCTGTTATCCCACAGGTCCCTCTATTTAGTAAAACTTTTAGCTACAGTGAATAACTATTTGTTACTCAATTATGATTAAAAGCCCCTAATTAAAGATTTAAGTAAAAATAACAACCTCCCTCAATGTGTGCATTACCACATTTACTCACTGAATGGCAGTCGGTGGTCCTGGGCCCTTTGGGCACCCTCAGGAGAGACACATGCAGTGCCTGTTTCACCAAGGAGGGGGCGGAGACCCAGGAAGCAGGCCCCTGGCTGGTAAGCCACAGCCATTGGGGGAGTAAACAGTGTGATACCTGGTCCAAGCAGTGCAGCTGCTATGGCCACAGCATTCCTCCTTATACAAGGCTTCCTTCAGAACCCAAGCACCAGGTGATGGGGGTCTGTGGTACCCACCTCCAACGAGGCAGAAGGCAGTCATTTATGGAGCCCTGTGGGCACAAGACCATGAGGCAGATTTGGATCCAACCCTCAGAAGCGTATGTGCTATCATGAACCCTCTGGTGATGCCGCTTCTAATCAAAGCAGCCTCCAGAGCAACTCCGAATGGGGGGGCATTCATGGTCTTCGTCCACTGCACTAAGCCTGGTCACTTAGGAATGCCTTAGGGCTCTGTAAGCCCTGGAAGGGGCCATGCGGTCCATTGGCATCAACTGTCCCACCATCCAGCACATCTTGGGATCCTGCTGTTCCGTCTAAGATCCGAGGAGTGTCTTAAAGGGGGCGTGGTCATTGCACACACAGGGACTGGGAGACACTGCAGGCAGGCCTCATGCACTTTGCAGAAGCGTGATAAGCTGGGGCTCTTGGAGAAGGTGACTATTTTCTGCTTTCCAGATGACTCTGTTACGGCCTGGCCTGTTGTGGCGGCCGGGGATTCTCCAGCCAGGTTGCATTTGTCCAGTCAGCGTTGTCAGCCTGCCCTCTGGGCAAATCCTATGACACCCCTCTCAATTGAAAACATTTTCTGTTCTGCAGGAAGCTGTGGGAGACCAGGTTCCTGTTCTTCTGCTGGGTAATAAGCTTGACAATGAGCAGGAGCGGGAAGTTCCCCGGGGCCTTGGAGAGCAGCTTGCCAAGGTAAAGAGCAAGCATTTCCATCTCTCTGGACAGAGTGTGACCCTGAGGGAACTTGGGCAAGTACCCAACAGCCTTGGTGGGGACTTCCTCTGGAAGTGCCATGGGAAGGAGGCAACTGGAAAAGATGGGTGTCCTGGCATCATGGAAATGTAGAACTTTGCATAGAAAGCCACAGATTGCAAGATGGAGTTAGTTAGGGACCACTAGGGTATGGGGAATTATCCTAAAGTCCTTTCCTTGTAACTCAGAATTATAAATTCTAAGATAGCAATAGTTGACTTATTTCCATCCTGCTCCAATCTGCGTTTCCACCTGATCACCCCAGGGATTAAAAACTCACTCTCTGCAAAGCAGTATGTTCTTCTACAGACCACTGGTTAGAGTTCATCCTTTCTATCAGGATTGAGCCTCAAAGCTGTGAACTCAAGATACACTCAGGAGACACACTGGAAAACCTACCATTAAAATAAGCATGGGCCCTCTTGCCCAAAAATGGAATCAATGGGGCTTAATGGAAATCAGGCAACAAAGCGTAGTTCCCTGGCTTCTTTTATTGCCTCAGGGTTTGGTTTTCATGGAACTGTGTGTCTGGGAGGATGGGGTGCTTACCAGCTGCATGATTCTGTAATTCTTCACATGCTTGCTCTAAACAAGGTTTCGTGAGTTCAGAGCCTGGGAGAATGAGCACAGATGGTAAGGCTCAAGGAAAAAGGAGGAGAAGGGCCTGAAAGGTATCTATGTGGAGGGTCACCAGACACTTACATGGCCACAATTCCAAAATCCACAAAGCTCTGAAAACAGAAAGGGTTTTTCGCATTTTATCTGGCAGAAAAATCTGACCAGAAATAACATGAGGCTATTCATGGTCACTTTTAGTGAATGTCCAAAATCTCACTGAAAAAATATTAAAATGTTTGATTATAGAGTGCTGTCTGAAATCCACTGAGGGTATTATATACTATATGGTACATACATGTATTACCTTTCTAAGATTCAAAAACTTCTGGATTTCAAAATATACCTGGACCCAAAGATTCTATCCATTTTCTTTTCTTCCTTTTTTCTTTTTTTTTTGGTCAATGGAAAAAAATTGAGACTCAGGAGTTAAGTGATACATTTATATTATCACAGCTCATCCGAGGTGGGGTCAGAACTCAAAGCAGGAAGGCAAATCACGTCTTCCAGTTCTAAGTCCTGTGCCCTTCTCTCCCCACTATTCCCACCCCATGGAGCCTTTCCTCTTTGACAGAATGACCCAAGAGATTGCAGATCTGAGAGAAATGCAGACAGGGAGAGATGGAGCCCACGGGGCTAGATGAGGAGGGCAGAAGGTGGAGCTGGTCTGTGGGTGGAGGTGGGGAAAGCTGCACTGGCAGCGTGGCAGTGCCTCCTGAGCTGCAGCCACAGAACCGTCCTCACCCAACTGGCCTGAATCCCCTCAGGGCATCAGCCTCTAAGAAGGGGCCATCTAAAAGCCAGGGCCCCGTGCCATCAGCATTGTCGTAATGAAGCCAGTAATCTACTAATGGGAATCATCCATGGAATATGATGAGCCTTAGCCAAGGGCACCCCCACCATGCAGGCAGTACAACCTCATTCTAATGAGCTGATGGCCAGTCTGGTCCATCAGTGCTCACAGCCAGGGCAGCTAGGGTATTAATTAACTGCTGTGAAAGAGAATTCCTACTGGAGTGCCTCATGACACCTGTCCCCAATGCCTATGGAATGCCACTGTCCTGGGGAAAGCATGCTGTAAGGAGCTCTGCCATTAACTCAGTGTGGGACTGAACAAGTCAGCCAAGTGCCCTCTCTCGCTGCAGTTTACCTGCCTGTCAAGGGGGAAGAATACTGCCTGCCCTGGCCTTTGTGTCTTTGCCTGAATCACAGGGCTGGTGTGACCTGGAATGAGCATGTATGCACTTGAGAGTCATTTGGGAAAGTATAAAGAAGCACTAAGGCAGCGAACGGTTTCGTGGTTTTACACTTGTTACAGCTCACCTGGGAGATGGTTTCAGAACTTGCATTAGTCAGGGAGCCTGTGGAGACAGAAATCAGCCGTGTACAGAGTGAGGAAGGACTCTGAGGAGATCAGGGGGCCTGCGAGAGGAAGCGAAGGCTGTAGGAACATGCACAAGGGGCCCTCCCACCACCCACACGGTGCCCTCTCACTCCAATACTCTTGCATTCACTCTGTTTTATGATTCTAGGAGAACAATCTGATCTTCTATGAATGCAGCGCCTACTCTGGTCACAATACCAAAGAGTCCCTGTTCCATCTAGCCAGGTAAAGACACGTGCTCCCCAGGTACGGTAACTGCTGCGTCCAGCTGTGTCTGCCTTCAGGGAGGCACCTTATTTCCCTCTGCCCAGGCCGTGCCTGGGACCCCGCTTCCTCCCTATTGGCTGGAGCCCCCTGAGTATAAGCAACGGGGTCCTAGGCCTTTGTGTGAGATTGCAGCGTCAGGAGCAGCTCTCTGAAACAATGATGTTGGGAAAGAAAGCATCCCTGCCTGTCACCCCCATTGCAGTCTTCTTCTTAGTCTTAAAGCTGTCTTTTCCCAGGGATGCTCTTTTCAAATGCAAATCCTTCTGGGAAAGGTCAGATGAGGGGCCCCTCAGCACTGGCTGATATCTTAGCAGGGACTAGTTGGAAGCCAGCTGGGGGCAAGAATGGGTTATAATATGAGTTCCTGGGTGTGGGGGAAGGGAGTGGGTGTGGAAGCCAGAGAGAAGAGGGGCTGTGATGGGGAGCCAACAGGAGGTAACCAAGATAATAGTGCTAAAAGGACTGAGAGCATGAAAAGACTGGTTCCTTAAGGCCCTGCCTACACCAAACATTTCAACAACAAAACCACGCTGGGACTCATTTTCAATACATAAGCATTCATTCATTCATCCATCCAACAAATACTTAACAGAGCCCATTTTGTGCTCAGCACTCATTCTGGGGGCATTTAAACGACTTTTTCTTTGAATAATTAAGAGCCCAGAACAAATCCTCTGTGCATTGGCGAGGTTATGGGGTTATGGAGTATCATAAGGGAAAATTCGAGGCTTTTCTCTGCCCCTGACTCCCTGGGCAAGTTCCTGCCTCTCTGAGCTTTGTCAGGAAGGTAGAAACATCAATCACACCTTCCTTCCCTGCCCACTCATAGGTTGTTGAGAGAATCAAAGGAGATGCGTAACGCAAAAGCATTTTGAAAGTATAAAGCAGAGACAAGGTGTTTACCATTATTTTTAATCCGTCACCTACTACATTTAATCTGGAGCGGTGGCCACATGGCATAGCCCCTCTGCAGAGGTCACAAACCATCAGTATATTTTGGAGCCTCTCCTGTGTGTTGGTTACTGTGATAGGCTGCAGAGGCACAGAGATAAAAAATAAGTCTTGGTCCCAAGCAACTCATTTTCTGCTGAGGGAGACAGCCAAGGAAGCCATGCATTGTGACACTGGGTGATGGGGTCATGACAGAAGAAGAGTCAGATGTTGTCAGGGGCTCTTAGGCTCACCTAGAGGATCACGAGGGGCGTCCTGGAGGAGGTGTCTTGAAGGATCCATGCCGACTAAACTCTCTGGGTTTGCAATTACAATTGTGCACCTGTACTGTCCAGGGTGAGATGTTCAGTACTCTCTCTAATGCCGAGGTGAGGGTGGGCTCTCTCCATCTGGCCCAGATGGCCTGTAACCTGAGGGTGGCTGGTCCAGGTGGCCAGCCCCTGGGCCTGTCACCTTCTCCATCACTGACACCATCTCTTTCCCTCTCCCAGGTTCCTCAAGGAGCAAGAAGACACAGTGAGAGAGGACACCATTCAGGTCGGCCGACCCGCTAAGCAGAAATCCTGCTGTGGCTGATAGGGCCCTACCAGGACTGCCCCCAGCAAGCCTGAGGTCACAGAGCCTGCCCTGATCCTGCACATGGCTCCTGCACAGTTGCCACCCACCAGGGTCCGCCCAGTCCTTTTCTTTGTCAGTCACTCGCCTCCCCCAAAAGGAAGGGAAGCACATCCCATCAGGAGAGCTGCTCTTGGAGCATCTCGGAGTCTTTTCTCTCCTTTCTGTTTCTAGACCCCAGATGCCCATCCCTTTGTTGTTGTTGTTGTTGTGTTTCCCTGACTTAGTTTCCTGGGGGGAAAGAAACAGATGGGCTTTTCCAGAAAAACCACCATGTGCCTTCTCCACCCCCCTTCTCCTTCCCTCGCCCTTAGGAGCCTCAGCACTGCTGTTGCCATGACAACCATGTAGGTCCTGACTTGCGGCTTCCTGCAGGCCAAAGGTACAGCACTCAGGTGCCGCCAGGGTAGTTAATCTTGCTTGGCCCCTGTCCTCCGGAGGCCAAAGGGATACTCTTACATGTGCTGTGTGGATCTGGAGATACCTGAGTTGTTGTTGACTGCAGCAAACCAGGGCAGCCACATTCTATTCTACCCCTGACCTGGGGGCTCCGCTCTTTCCGTAATGCCAAGCTTTGAGCCTTCCCTCTCAGCACCATGTCCACTGCCTCTGCCCCCTTGGGTTTTCTGGAACAGTGCCTTATGGAGAACCTACAGCCTTTCCTCCTCACCCCCCACCCACAACCCTGACTCCAGGGTGGTCTGTGGGTGAGAAGGGATGCCTGGGGTTAGGGAGTGGGCTGACTTCCTACTTAACTTTGAGAAATGAAAAGAAAACTAGTGGAAAAAAGCTATCTGCTGCTAAACAGAGCGACCATTTCTGGAAGGTATAAATGAGGTATATATAGCTATATAAAAGCCATTTTCTAAATGTTTCTCAAAATAGCTCTTTGAAAAATCGTACATGATGATTAACAGGGTAGACTGACAAGCAGGCAGTGGGGCCCAGCACAAGGGCCGTAGTTACTGACTTCATTTTATTTTCTTGTACTTTATTCTGGAACACTGTATTTTTTTCAGTGTGGCTGTGATGTTGACATTTGCCGGTGTTTGAGAAGTGAGCAGAATGTAGCACCCCCGACTGCAGCAGCACAGGGCCCTTGCACTGGGGGAGTGATCTGGGCCCCGTGGGACTCCTGCAGCTGGGTGGTGGTGAGTTCCCAGCCAGCTCCGGCATCACTAGCCAGCCGTCACCGCACTCTTGCCCTGAGTGGGAAGTTGAATGAAAGTTATTACAAAGATCACTGCCAATCACTGGGCCTTCAGACCCAGGCCCCTACAGGAAAGTGGGTGGTTCACACCCAAGCAGGGCACACAGAGAGGAAGAGGGGCAGAAAGTGTCCACAGGCTTCCAACAAGGCAGTTGAAGACAACCCCACATAGCCACACGGAGGGGAGAAAGACCACTGGCCAGAGTTCCCAAGGCATTCCGATAGCCTCCTCCCAGACTCCCAAAATAGTCAGAGGCCCCCTGGGCAAGTACCTACCTCTTTTTTGCAGACTCCTCTCTTTCATTGAGCACTCGTAGGAACCAGAGAGCCCATGGAGGGTGCTGAACTAAAATGACGACGGCGTACCAGAGGTGCTTCTTGATCCTAAGCAAGCCCGCTCCCTCCCTGGGCTCCCCCGACAGCAGTAAAATGAGGGGATGGGCTATTTGATGTTTTGAGCTCTTCTTGCTCAGATGCACAAGATGACATATTTATTTTCCATTATAGGCTGGCCCTGGACCTCAGTCCAAGGTTAGAGAATTCATAGGAAACTCCCTTCCCCTGAGGAAGGGCAGTGGTGGTGGTCCCATTAATAGGATGAGGCAGGGAGAGGGGATGCATGGGGTCACCCAGAGGTGGCCCTAAAATGTGTGTGTGTGTATGTGTGTGTGTGTGTGTGTGTGTGTGTGTGTGTGTCAGTGTCAAGTGTGTAAAGGGAAAGGAAGGATAGAAGGTCACGGTGGCCATGGAGAAAGTAAACTCACTCTTCTGCTTTTGACAAAAAGCAAACATGGCTATTGGGATTTATGGGGCCAGCAGGCCATTCCTGGGGTTCCCTAAGCCCACAAATGTCTTTATTCCTAATACTTTGCCCCTGGCTTTCTGCTGCATTCTTCCATTTAGAAACAGAGCATGCAAGGTTTAGGGCAGGGAAGGTCTGGCCTCCTAGTATGTGGAGTAAATCCCCATGATTCTTCAAAGGAGAGAGAAAGAAGTGAGGTGGCAGGGAGGGCGGTCTTCAGGCCTCTGTTCCTCTCTTCTCCAACCTCCCTTTTAAAAAGAGGGAGAAGGCCAAGTGTGGTGGCTCACACCTGTAATCCCAGCTGAGCCAGAGGATCATTTGAGACCAGAAATTTGACACCAGCTTTAGTAACATGGCAAGACCCTACCACTACAAAAAAAAAAAAAAATGAATATTAGCAGAGCATGGTGGCGTGAGCTTGCAGTTTTAGCTACTCAGGAGGCTGGGCCAGGAGGATTGCTTGAACCCAGGAGTTCAAGATTATAGTGAGCTATGATGTTGCCACTGCACTCCAGCCTGAAGGACAGAATGAGATTCTATCTAAAAAAAAAAAAAAAAAGAGTGGAGGATTAGGATTCCAGAGGAACTCTGAGAAGTTCCTTGTCCCCAGCTCTCAGCTCTCCTTCCATTCCTTTTAAGCCACCATGTTGATCAGAGCCACCCTGGGCTGTCACTCTGCCCCAGAGGCTGCCAGAGAAACCTTCTGGCTGTGTCCCATTCACATCCTTGTAGTAGCCTTGAGCTAATCGCTTAGCCAGGATCCACATTCATCTATAGATTGGAATTTTCAATGTCTACCTCACAGGGTCGTTTTAGTATTAGGTGAGGTAATGTATGTAAAGTACCTAGCACAGTGCCCAGAATAGAAGAGGTGTTAATAAGTAGGGGCTGCTTTTGTTGTCAACATTGAGTTGCTGTCCTGGCCACTTGCCTTGCTTCAGTTTTATATTTAGAACCAGCTAACAGTTGCTAAGCATCTGCGTGGAACTGGGCACTTTCACAAACATAACCTCTTTTGGGCATCTGTTTGCCCAACCCATTTGCCCGAGTTCTGAGCTCATATCTGGCTTGCCTCTTGCTGTTCTTTGTTCCTGTGAGTTTCCCAGCTTCCTGGTTTGTCTATCAGTGCCCACGGCCTTTCAGCACCCAGTCCTCCCTCCCTCTCTATGGTGCTCTGGGAACCACTCAGATGGCAGCTCAGACCTGGTCACAACTCCTGGGTGTTTACCTACAAATGACCGGTGCTCACTGCCATCCCTGGCTCTTGCCTGCTCCCCTGTTCTTACACCTTTTGCTTCTTCTGCTGCTGCCCTCAGCCCTGAGTTGCCAAATCAAGAACCTCATCACCAAACCAATGCGCCAGTTGCTTTGCTTCTTGTCTAGCATTTGCTTCACTCCACACTCCCTGTGGGACCTTTTTTGTTCCCCTATGATACCTTAGCTGTCTCCCTGCTCCTCATCTGATACTCTTTCTCTATTCTTAATACTTCTACGCTCTCTGAGATGTTCCTTCTCCCTGCTTTCCTCCAGGCCCAGGCCAGGCCTTACCTATATACTCTATCAAAAATGGCACAACCGTTTGTCTCTGTCACTAGTAGTAACTTCTCCAACGGCACTTAAACCAACTTCAGCTAAATGGAATTACAATGCGATTGGTGGCTTCCAGGGCCATATGTATAGTTTAATAAAGAACTGTAAGGGAGGCAAAACTTTGACCCAAAGGAATGAGTCCCTAGTGATAGGACACTAACCACTATAATGGGTTATGGGAATTAAATATTTAGGACAAAGCTGCCTTCTCTACTCTCAAAGATTTCAGTTTGCTTCATGTATTTTGGGGCTTTATTGCTAGGTTCAAATATATTTCTAATTGTGATTTCCTCCAGATGGATTGCCACTTTATCATTATAAAGTGACTTTCTTTGTCTTTGGTAACAATTTTTGTCTCAAAGTTGATTTTGTCTGATATTAGTATAGCCACTTCAGCTCTCTTTTTATTGCTGTTTGCATTGTATATATTTTACACCCTTTTAATTTCAATCTAGTTGTACATTTCAATCTAAAGTGAGTCTCTTGGAGACAGCATACAGTTGGATTATGTTTTTTAAATCTATTTTTCCAATCTCTTAATTGGAAACTTTAATTTATTTACATTTAATGTAATTGATAAAGTAAGATTTGTCTGCTACTTTGCTATTTATTTTCTATACATCATATGTCTTTTTAAATCTTATTTTTTTTCATTACTGCCTTCTTTTATGTTAAATAGTATTTTCTAGTGTAACATTTTAATTCTCTTATTTCATTTACCATATATTTTTGAATTTTTTCTTGGCGGTTGCCCTGGGGATTACCATTAACGTCTCAATTTATAACAATCTGTTTGTGTCAGTAACAACCTAATTTCAAGTAAACAAAACTGTTGCTCTTTAATGGTCCCATTTTCCCTTCCCTTCTGCTATTATTGTCACAAATTTCATCTTTATACGTTTTGAACCCATCAACATACATTTATAATTATTGCCTTATGAAGTTGTCTTTTATTTAAATCAGAAAGAAAAAAGTTACTAACAAAAAATAAATTTGTATTGTTTATATCTAACTGCATGATTTCTTTTACTAGTGCTCTTTATTTTTTCATGTTGATACACATTACTATCTTGTCCCTTTTCATTTCAGCCTGAAGCATTGCTTTTTACTATTTTTTGTAGGGCAGGCTTGTTAAAGACAAACTCTCTTGTTAAAGATAAACTCCCTCAGTTTATCTAGAAATGTCTTAATGTATCCTTCATTTTTGAAGGATAGTTTTGCCAGATACAGACTTTTTGATTGACAGCTTTTTTTTTTCTTTCAGCACTTTGACTGTGCCATCCCACTGTTTCCAGCCTTCATGGTTTCTGATGTAAAATTAGCTGTTAGTATCATTGAGGAACGCTTGTATTTGATGAATTGTTTCTCTCTTTGTGCTTTCAAAATTCTTTGTCTTTGTCTTTCAATGGTTTGATTTTAATGTGTCCAGCTATGGATCTTTTTAAGTTTATCCCACTTGGAGTTTGTTGAGCTTCTTGAATGTGTAGATTAATAGTTTTCATGAAATTGGGGGAGGTTTCGGTCCTTATTTCTTCAAGTATTCTTTCTACTTCTTTCTCTCCTTTCATTCTGGGATTCCCTTTATGTGTGTTTGGCATGTTTGATGGTGTCTCACAGGTTTCTGAGTCTCTGTTTATTATTATTAATTATTTTTTCTTTATGTTCCTCAGATTGGGTAATCTCAATTGACTGATCTTTAGGCTCACTAGTTCTTTCTTCTGCCTGTTCAGATATGCTGTTGAGCCTGTCTAGTGAATTTTTCTTTTCCATTATTGTACTTTTCAACTCCAGAATTTCTGTCTGGTTCCTTATTATATTTTCACTGTGTTTGCTGATATTCTCTATTTGGTGAGATACTGTTCTCATACTTTAGTTATTTAGACACGATTTACTTTAGGTCTTTAAACATTTAGAATAGCTTAAAGGCTCAAAGAGTTTACATTGGTAGCCATCTGCCCTGTGCACAAACCAAGTTCTGCTTGTCAGTCTCTGCCTTCTTCCTCACACTTCACACAGCCCAGCTACGGTTCTGGTCTTTTTCTTTAGCTTGACCTCTACCCTCCTCTCCAAAGTTTCTCCTTTTTTCTGGGTTGTAAGAGGGTGGAGGCTCTTCAGGTCTGAGAAGGCCTCTCCTCTTCTTGAGCTTCTAGTGCCCTTCTGGAGGTGAGCTGCCCAAGGAGTTACCCAGTCTCTTGGGGGAAGTGAAGGGAGGCTAGACATGCTCAGACAATCTTCCCTGTCCTTCCAAGAATTTAGTCATCCTGCAAAGCTTTACTCAAAAGGGATTGCGGGGAAAGACTGCAAATCAGGGCAAATTTGAAGCTTTTTTTTTTAAAGCCAACTTAATTACTTCAAAATAATGAAATTATGGTACACATGGGTTTCCAAGCAGCCTGTTACTACTGGTTGTGATCAAAGCCTGAGCTTGGCTTCTGGACTGGCCCTAGGATCACTGCCACTTCTCCTTCCTTCCTCTGGGGCACAGAAAGAGGCTACACAAATTCCAACAAAGTTTAGTCAAAAGCCATAGGATTTTACTGTATTGGTTATTTTCTCCCTTCTTATCTGGCGGTGGTGAGGGTTAACAAGATACAATCACCTTCTAAACCTCCTCCCTCACTTCCTAACTCAGTTGATGTTTCTATTAATAGGCATATTAATTACTAACAATAGCAGTGACAAAGAACATCATGACTCCACCTTTTATACAATTCAGTGGAGCCGATTTAATCAAAGTGCCCTACTTAGGGAGAGCATTGCTAGAAATGATGGGGATTGGGAAACCATATGGTGCTTGGCAGAGGACCCAAAATCAATGTAGAAACTGAGGAGCTTGGGCAGAGTATGTCATTTATCATTCTGGGGCGAGGGCTGAGTCAGGTCCAAGAACTGACCCTCTCTCGGAGCTGGGACTTCATCAAGGCTCTGGCTCCGGTTCAAAAGTGGTACTTGCAGGCCCTTGTCATAGCACCAGGGGACTCCTCTCCCAGCAAATGAGTACTCCTAGGACGAGTGAGGCCCGTGCTATCATAACGAATTATGAGTGGATCCATCTGACCTATAAAAATAAATACCACCCATAAACAACACTGCAATGCTAAAACTAAAATACCTGAAGAACATAGAGAGAATAGGATTTTTTAAAAAATTATAAATAGAAATGAAAACGTGAACTCAGAATGAATTTGGGAAACATGACTGGAGCTGGGATTCATTGAGCACGTGTCACGCTAGGTCAAGGGCAGAGTGTCAGGGTGTGGCCCAACATCAGGTGCCTGGGCTCCGCAGGCCACTCTGCACTGAAGCAAATTGCACCATTCTGTATGGTGCTTATTCACACGCACTGCCCACAGGGTCCTGCTGAGTTAGAGGAACTGGACCGAGCGCCTGAGGGCAGGAGCGTTCATCTCCGTAGCCACGTGTTTGGTACAGTATCTGACAAATAACACTGGCCTTGTAGGGACAATGGAGAGCAGAGCATCCTTTCTCAGGTACAAGGCCCACGCCCTGGTGAGCTGCTCCACTGGAGCTTCAAGTCCTAGAGCTGGACAGCTGGGCCTCTGTGGCCTATGTAGACCTTAGGGTTTGCCTCACTAGTGCAAATGAGTTGCTGCTTCTTGCTTTTGAAACAAAATGTTGGCATGTTCCAGCTGCTGTGATTCAATTGCCTTTCAGACAGTGTGGTGCCCAACAAAGCATCTGTCTCAACACCCCACGGCCTCCCCAGCTGCCACTAGTACAATCCATTACCTGCAGGCAGCGCAACAACTCAATTTGACTTGGACTCCACGCCTCTGCACAGAAGATGCTTCATGCCTCTGCACAGA